GCAAGGCAAAGGCTAGGATGTATAATCCACAAGAAAAGAAACGTGACTCAAGAACCGTAAGCTGTTAAGCTGTCATTTTATTGGTTTTCCTGAAAAATCTAAGGGTTACAAGTTTTATGCTCCAAACTTGCACAGTAGAGTTTTTGAAACCAATAATGCGAAGTTTATTGAAAAAGAAGTCAGTCATGATGGAGGAGATTCAAATGGCTTTATTTTTTGAGAACATAAGGATCCCACTGACTTTCATGGAGGAGATAATCAACAAGGGTCAAATGCCATGCAAACCATTATGTTCGAACCTGAGGTAGTGCCACCGAGTATAATCAATGATCTTGCAAATGCTCCAATGCATGAACCTGTTATCGAGCAAGTTGCTAGGAAAAACCCAGTAATAAATGAAATACTGAGAAGAGCATCGCAAAGGGTTCGAAGGTCAGCGATCTCTAATGATTATGTGACCTAATTGACTGAAGTGGAGTATGATGAAGGAATGTTGGTTAATCCAGCAACCTGTATGGAAGCAAGGAACGGTGAGAATTTTCAGTCTTAGAAGCATGCAATGGAGGAGGAAATTAAGTCCATGCAAATTAATCAAGTGTGGTCATTGGTGGAGAAAACAGATTCAATGAGACCCATTAGATGCAAATAGGTGTATAAGACGAAGAGGGACTCGAAGGGCAAAGTTAAAAGGTTTAAAGCGAGATTGTTGGTGAAGGGTAGGTCTGGCAAACGGGTCGTGTCTGTCATGTTCGTGTCGTTTTCGTGTAACACATGTTATCTTAACGGGTCGTGTCGTGGGTCCTTAACAGGTCGAGTCACTTTACCCAACGGGTAAAGTGGTTATGACCCGTTAAGAAAAAAAATTCTTAAATTTGCACATACCACACATTGCTACATAAATATTACTTCAAAACATTAAAACACATTTGTCGTTAAGTACTACATCTACACTCGAAAATAAGAGCCTAATAAAAAAGCATCCATACACTACTAGTCTATTACAAAATATTAAATGTGCAAGGATATGCAAAATGAAAGAGTTTTTGTTTTCAAGGTTGTGAAACATAGATACAATCATACAAATGAACTTGCGGCGTTCAAAATAAAAAAATAAAAAAAAATAAAATAAAGACCTGCCTGCCAATTGCCAATACTTGGGACAAATAATTCCATACAAATAATTAAGACATTGCATCTACTACAGCAAAAGGTGGGGCATCACTACTCTGTCGTTGCCTACCTCATAGGCCACCTGAATTCTAACCTCCCCAATCCCTTGATAACATATCCCAAATATATATATATATATATATATATATATATAATATATAACCTCCCCAATCCCCTGATAACATATCCCCAATATATATATGACATTAAGTAATGAATCTCACCTTACGACTTACAATACGACTAAATAGCATGACATAATAAAGTTAATTTACATAACTACATCTATACTCCCGAATTCTAATGCTTGATTCTATTTCTGCCTCGTCCTTTTGTGATTTTCAAGCTTGCAAAGCCAACGCGAAGCACGCTTGCTCGATCAATGGGTTTTTTTAATGTTTGCAAACATGCCCCAACCCAGAAACTCCAGAATCTCCAAAATTAGAAAACCCCAGAAACCGCAAACCCAGAAAATCCCCAGGCATTAGTATTAATTTTAACGAAAACCCCAAATCACTAGTTTTTGAAAAAAAACACAGAATACCCAAAAATACAAAATTCATACCTTTAGCGTGTGCTTGCATGTGTGTGGTTTTCTTGTGGCTGCCAAAGTCAAGTTGAAGGAAGTGAATGGAGGAGGATGCGAAAGAGATGCGAATTAAGGAGACGGCGCGGGAGTAAGTCTGGAATGGAGAGATCAGAGTGAATGAGAAAGAAGAGAAGGATAGCCTCCAACCTAATGCAACATGGACGGCTGAGATTAAATCTCAACCGATCCAATGGTCACCAATTTTTTAAATTTAATTATATATATATATATATAATTATTATAGTTTTTAGGGGTATAAAATTGTTAAATTAATATATATAATTATTATCGTATTTTTTTAGGGTTATAAAATTATAAAATTAATATTTTGCTTATCATGTATCGTGTTACCCACGTGTATACCTGAACCAACTCGTTGTCTTAACAAGTGCTTATCGGGTTACCTGATAATGACCCGATTCGTTAGCATGTCGACCCAAACACCTGTTAATTTCGTGTCATGTCGTGTTGGGTTATCGGGTCGTGTCAGGAATTGCCAAGCCTAGCGAAGGGTTTCAACCAAAGGGAAGGAGTGGATTACAACAAAACATTCTCACCTGTTTCATCAAAAGATTCTCTTCGTATAATCTTGGCATTGGTGGCACACTTCAACCTAGAACTTCATCAAATGGACGTTAAAACCATTTTCCTCAATGGTGATCTTGAAGAGGATATTTACATGGAGTAGCCTCTTGGTTTTGTAGAAGAAGGAAAAGGTCATTTGCTTTGCAAATTAAGCAAACCGATATCTGGGCTGAAACAAGCATTAAGACAATTGTTTATGAAGTTCGATCAAAAGGTAACATAAATTGGTTTCATTGAAAATAAGGTTGATGATTGCATCTATTTCACATGCATTGGTTCGAGATTTATTTTTCTCATTTTATATGTGGACGACATACTTCTTGCAAGCAATGATTTAAATCTTTTATTGGAAACTAAATCATTGTTGTAAAGAACTTTTGACATGAAGGATCTTGGGGAAGCCTCTTTTGTACTTGGGATTGAGATCATCAACGATGGGTCAACAAATTTGTTGGGAATGTCACAAAAGGCATACATTGAAAAGGTAATGAAACGATTTAATATGGAGTGTTGCTCTCGAGGTGAAGTGCCAATGAGTAAGGGTGATAAGCTAAACAAGTCTCAGTGCCCTAAGAATCAATTGGAAATGCAAGGCATACTGAACAAACCATATGCATCTTTGGTGGGAAGATTAATGTATGCTCAAGTATGCACAAGGCCAGACTTAGCACGTTCAATAAGTGTGCTTGGTAGGTTTCAGTCAAACCTAAGAGAGCAACATTGGGTGGCTGCCAAAAAGGTGTTGAGGTACTTGCAAAAAACGAAGTTGTGCATGCTTCTGTATAATAAGTCTGAAAAACTTGAAGTAGTAGGTTACTCTGACTCTGACTTCATAGGGTGTGAGGATGATAGAAGGTCCACAAGTGGTTATTTATTTTTTTTAGCAGGAGGAGTAATTTTTTGGAGGAGTGCTAAATAGAAGACATGTGCAACCTCCACGATGCAAGCTGAGTATATTGTCGTCTTTGAGGCTATGCAGAAGGCATTGTGGATCAAATATATGGTTACTCTTATAGGAGTCGTGGATAGCATCTCAAGGCCAATTTTGATACACTATGACAATAAGGCTGCTGTGTTCATTTCCAAAAACAATAAGCAGTCTACTTCAAATCGGTTAATGGATATTAAGTATCGTTCAGTTAGAGAGGATGTGAAGAATGGACTGGTGATAATCGAGCATGTTGACACCAACTCCATGATAGCATACCTACTTACTAAGGCACTGGCAGTTGCTGTTTTCAAGATGCATGTTGCAAAAATGGGAGTCTTGGATTCGTTCGATTCAGCAGCTATGTGGGAGTAAAAAGTTTGGTTTAATTTCATTTTCCTTGATAGTTGTTTTGTTCGTGCAAATAGTTGTTAAAGTACTTGCTGGATGATAATTCATGTGTCATTTTGATGTGAGTTATTGGCATATAGCTATTGATTTAGCTGATAACAGAGTGATTGACTTGAATCACTCATGGTCGATGTATGAGGAAATGCTTGTTCATCTGTTAACTCATGTGATCACTAAGGAATTAATTTTGGTGAATACATTGCTTGAACGAAAGTGATCAGTTTAGGTCCAAGTGGGAGAATGTTGGAACCCTACTGGGCTCTAAACTTATCACATTAGGGTTTAAGGTTAATGGAAGTCGAAATCAGTTAGAGTTAATATATGAATAAATATTATTTCTTTTAAAGTAGGACAATAAGGATAAACATGGTAGAGGATATCCCAGGTTGGAAATCAAATGGACGTGGGGTTTAATCAGACTATTTCCATGATAGGAGGAAATTGTTGAGGTTACACATCTATAAAGGTTCAGTCCCTAGTCAAGGGGAAATGCGCATTCTTATTCAGTACACTAGCCCTATTCTAGTGAGAACATAAGGTCCCCATTAAGTAGAAGACTTACATCTGTGAACTCAGTTACAATGGCTTCTCTAGGTTTGATTTACACTTTGCTTCTAGTTAATACTAGCAAAAATGCCCGCGCGTTGCTGCGGGACTTGAATGCACCAACCTTAACCACATGAATAAGACATTTAACCTGAAAAAAAAAATCAACATAATCATGAACGAACAAAAGGGATAGATGAGTGAAAGGTGTCGGTAAGATGAGCAATTCGGCTTCTATATACATTCAACCAAGCTGATTACAAAAGATACAGTTGCAAGAAAATGCTCTGTTTCTTGAGAAACAGAAGCAACATGCAATTAACACTTATATTGCCCTTCAAGTTAAGATGGCAAAATATGTCTTGCAGGCTAGGCACGTGTTTTAACAGCTAAACAAAAAAGCAAAAAAATAGTGTTCTTGTTTCAGAAGCTAATCATTCAAGGCACTAATGTATGGATTAAAGTAAAATATCTAAGATCCTATTTGTTTTTTTTTTACTAATGCTTCAACATCATCCACCTAATTCATATCACATCCATAGGTACCTGAGAACACTTATTCCCACCACCATTGCGTTGTTACTTTAATAAATGGATCCTTTTTTATACTCTCAGGTCTTCAGATCTCAGTACAGAAAAGGGCAAAATATTTTTTAGGTTCAAAACAAATGCAAATGCCATTACAATAGCACTAACCTATCTTAATTTTCAACACCGCAATCCTCCTAACTCAACTTAATAAGTAACAGTCTAATTCTTTCTTAGCCAAAACTAAGCCAAAAATTGTCAATCCCATAACCGACATAGAAAACAACTCCAAATTCTCATTTCCAAACTGAATTTTATAGATAACTCTTAAATAAAACATGCATTATTATATAATAATATACAACACAATCTATCAGTGATATTAACTCTTAGAAGATTGCATATTTGAGGCACAATTGAACCTGATTTAGAGGATTGCATGTACACAACTTTGGGATTTGCTATCCTCTTGTCAACTTCATCATTGGTCATCTCAGAAATAACCTGTTGATTTTACAGATCAAATTAATAAATTATAAGGTTGTCTATAAAAGTTGACTATCTATGTTGATATAAACGGCAACTTTCACTCCAAATTTCTGTTAAATCTAGAGAAATAATGTTGTAAGCATAAATCTATTTCTAATTTTTCCCATTAAATTACTTACATCTTTAGCAGCCTAGGCAAAACCATGTATAAGTATAAATAATAAATGATTTCAGATCAACAAAGTTTGTCCACACTTACAGCAATGCCAATGGAACCAAGTCCAAAAAGAACAACTGAAGATCCTTATTTCAGTTTTGTTGCATTCAAAGTGCCACTCAAACTTGATTTTGGAAAGAAAGTAATCAACATCATATCGACTTTTGATACATACGTGAAGATTGTAATGTTTTGAGTGTTGAATTTACCTAATTGTTCACAATGAAGAAGAAATATCGCCAACCTTGGTACTGTATATTTCTGCCCAAAAAAAGTTTTCCAAAAAATGAACTAAAAAAATATAATCTATTCCAATATGATTATCCATTCATGTTCAAAAAAGACAAAACGAAGAATATATAAGCATCCAAACATCAGTTAAAACTAAACAATTAAAAGCAATAACACTAAACCATTTCATTAAAGACATAGATAACATATTTGGCTCTTTGTACCTAAAATAAAAAACATTTGCTTTCCTATATGCTCTGAAGTTTGCATAAGTGCTTTCCTATATAAAGAGACAATCAGAATAAAACACATTTGAAGGAAAAAGTAATAAGAAAAGAAAATAGTGTTTTTTACCTATGATCCATGTGAAGAGTAGAATTTCCAATCACAATTGACAACCTAAGAGCTCTGTAAATCAAATATATAGGAAAAGATCAATAAAAAGTGAATTACAGTTTCTAAAATCAGAAAGTAACATTTATTTGAAAAGATTCAGACTCATTTTGGATATAGATAAACAATGGCATGTTAAAAACCAAAATGATAATGCATTAGACATTCAGCATTTACGTAAATAATAATAATAATAATAATAATATACATGTTATCCATCAATGTTTTGGTGAAAAATTCCCAAATTGCTCTCCATATTGCCCAAACCATTGAACCAAAACAGGACAAATTCACTGCAAAAATCCCAATTTTTCCTACTTTTGAATGAATCAAGCATGCCATTTTAAGACTGCAAAAAAGATTATATAAACCAACTAAAAATCCCATGTTTTCCCTACTTTTGAATGAATCAAGCATGCCATTTCAAAACCAATGTAACTTTTGTTCTCAAAACAAATTCACAGAACACACAGATAGAGACACCAACTCAAATTGCAATTTCAAAACAAAAGTAAATTTTGTTCTTAAAACCAAGAACCACATAGAAGTCGAAAATCTAAATGAAGGAAAGTCTACCTTCTCAAGGTGTATTTCTTCACTTGGTATTGCACCCTCCCTAATTATCTGCACATGGTACACCGCAATGCTTCCTGCACTTCAAGGCTGCAGTTAAGAAATCATCCAACTTCAATACACTATGAACCTACACCTAGTAATGTCATCAAGTACACCAAGAAACAAATTCACAGCTCAGATTTTTTTACACCTAATTTGGCAGCTTAGAGAGCAACCATCAATAGTCCCATGATTTTGGAAATTTACACATAAAATGTTCTAAATTGTAGTGTGCAAATTATTTCTGAGTGATAAAGAATGGTGCCTGCACAATAAAAGTAGTGTACTACAAAATAATAGAAAGGCAATACCTGTACACATTAATACGTATAATTTTCATTTTCTATATAGTTTAGCATGTTTTTTGTTAGATGATTGATCTACACACACACATACGCATATGTACATGGATATATACACATAGAAAATAAACACAATTAAGATAAGGACCACCATCAAAATTGAACAACAACAACAACAACAACAACAAAGCCTTTTCCCACTAAGTGGGGTCGGCTATATGAATCCTAGAACGCCATTGCGTTCGGTTTTGTGTCATGTCCTCCGTTAGATCCAAGTATTCTAAGTCTTTTCTTAGGGTCTCTTCCAAAGTTTTCCTAGGTCTTCCTCTACCCTTTCGGCCCTGAACCTCTGTCCCGTAGTCACATTTTCGAACCGGAGCGTTAGTAGGCTTTCTTTGCACATGTCCAAACCACCGTAACTGATTTTCTCTTATCTTTCCTTCAATTTCGGCTACTCCTACTTTACCTCAGATATCCTCATTCCTAATCTTATCATTTCTCGTGTGCCCACACGTCCAACGAAGCATCCTCATCTCCGCTACACCTACGTGTTGATGCTTCACCGCCCAACATTCTGTGCCATATAGCATCGCCGGCCTTATTATCGTCCTATAAAATTTTACCTTGAGCTTCAGTGGCCTATGACGGTCACACAACACGCCGGATGCACTCTTCCACTTCATCCATCCAGCTTTTATTCTATGGTTGAGATCTCCATCAAATTCTCCGTTCTTTTGCAAGATAGATCCTAGGTAGTGAAAACGGTCGCTCTTTGGTATTTCCTGATCTCCGATCCTCACCCCTAACTCATTTTGGCCTCCGTTTGCACTGAACTTGCACTCCATATATTATGTCTTTGATCGGCTTAGGCGAAGATCTTTAGATTCCAACACTTCTCTCCAAAGGTTAAGCTTCGTATTTACCCCTTCCTGAGTTTCTTCTATCAACACTATATCGTTTGCGAAAAGCCTACACCAAGGAATATCATCTTAAATATGTCCTGTTAAATCATCCATTACCAACGCAAAAAGGTAAGGACTTACGGATTGTTGATGCACAAAAGCAGTGAGGACTTTGGTACAATAGAAAGTATTAAGTTTGTGATCTTCGCTAGATTGCTCCAGTCATTAGTGTGGATAAGTATGTAAATGGATAGAAACAAGAAAGCAAATACAAGATGTACGTGGTTCACCCATCAAGCTCTTCTTTAGTGAGTACCAGTGAATGATTTAGTACAAATGACATTAGGAAATATTGTGGGAGAATGATCTCGTAATCATGAAACTTCTAAGTACCGAAGTGTGGTATCGTCTTCACTTGCCTTATCTGTCTCATAAGTAGATGTGGCATCTTCTCTGGAAGTACTCTTCCTCCATCCAGGGGTGGTATCTTTAGCTGGTGGAGATGCACAAGGTAATGTATCAATTTCACTTGAAGCTTACTTGTAGTTTCAGACTTGGTCAACCGCGATACAAACCATGTAGTAGGAGTCCCCCAAGTCGCCGAGCTAGGGGTTCTGCTAAAAAAGGTGACAGACAAGGTAAGCAATCAAAGCTCCAAGCAATCAGTCCCAGATCAGAAGTTTGATTTCGAGTTCCGGCTGATTGTTCTCATTCTCCCTATCTTGCGAGCAACATAAAGGATAAAGAGAAGAAAAGGAGAAAATGTGATATGAGATACTTTTGCTTTTGAAGAAGTAACTTTCCACAGGCTTATTCTTGAACTGGGCTGAAGGGTTTTCTGGTTTCCTCCAGAGTATAAGGGCGAATGAAGAATTTGAGGGTCAAAACAAGTCCATCAAATCTAGAGTACGTTCGACCCTGCTGATATGGGATACTTTTGTTGTTGACAAAGTAGTGGATGTATCGGCACGTGTTCTGTTCCGCTTGTCTCCACATGCTTCCTTGTATCCTTCTCACTTGCCCTATCTATTCCTCAGGCAGATGTGGTATCTTCTCTAGAAGCATAAGATGTTAAAGATGAGAACTCGAGAGCAATGCCAGGTAAGTAATCAGGTAAGGGGTTCTAGGCAGTCAGTTCCTGACTGGAAGCTTGATTCCAAGTGCTAACTGATTGCTCTTTTTCTCCTTGTCTTGCAGGTAAGAACAAGGCCAAAGGAAAAGACAGGGAAAAAGCATGATATGGGATACTCTTGCTTTTAACCCTGATGATATGAGATATTCTTGCTCTGGTGTAGCTTGTTTGCAGAGGTATTCTCGGGGAGAAAGAAAGCTGATTATTTCGAGAGGCTTCGTTGGGAATGCCTTCTCAGATATGAAGAAGGGTTGAGCATTTTTGCAGGTCTACCTGTCCGTTAAGGATGGAGGTCGACATATATAGGAGTCTCCCTAACAACAAGTAGTAATACTATTCCTTTACCCTGTTTGGTCATAGCACGGTAGTGAGAGCTGCCAGCTTCACGTGTTTTAACTCTGTCAGAGCACTTTGAAAAAGTGGTATGTGATATCTGGAAAGCTAATGTTGCGTGTGAAGATTACAGACAAGCTTTATCCAAGGAGATCTGGCCCTCGAAGTTGAGAAAGCGGTGTGAAGATTACAGATAAGCTTTATCCAAGGAGATCTGGCTCTCGAAGTTGAGAAAGCGGTGCCTCTTCAATTTTCGAACAAGCAATCCTGTCGGGGATCTGTCTCTTGAGATTCGAATAACAGTGCCTCTTCGATTGTTGAGAAAGCAATCCTGCTAAAAGTCTGGCTCTCGAGATTCGGAGAGTGGTGTCTCTTCGATTTTTGAGAAAGTAATAATGTTGGGAGTCTGGCTCTCGAGATTCGGAGGGTGGTGCCTCTTCGATCTTGAAGCAAGCAATCTTGTTAGGAGTGTTTTCTCGAATGTGGGTAAAGTTTGGGCCTGTTTGCTAATCTACCTTGCCACGGAGCACAAAGGTTGACACACAAGGACTTTCCAATTATCCAGCAGTGGTCCTGTTCCTTTACCCTTGTGGGTAATAATATGGTAGCTAGACCTTCAAAATTTATGTGTCTAAACTTTATTAGTGTTGTTTCTTTGTTATTCTTTTACCCTTCTTGGTCATAGCGATGTAATAGGAGCTGCAAGCTTCACGTCTCTAAACTTTGTCAGAGATCTTTGGCAAAGTTATATGTGGTACCCGTGAGTTGATGTTGCGTGTGGAAAGTGGATGATTGAACAGTAACATTCACGTGCTTTCAACTTCACTAGAAATCTTCGACATAATGCCCATAATTTCCGCAAAGTTGAGTGTGCATGCGACAGGTGCTGACAAGGCTGAAAAAGCAAGTGCCTCTTCGATTTCTGAGATCAGCTCTCGTGGTCTCTGAGCAGCCCAGCTTTTGAGAAAGTAAGCGCCTCTTCGATTTCTGCGATCGGCCTTCGTGGTCTTTGAGTAGCCCAGCTTTTGAGAAAGCAAACGCTTCTTCAATTTCTGAGATCAGCTCTCGTGGTCTCTGAGCAGCCCAGCTTTTGAGAAAGCAAACGCTTTTTCGATTTCTGAGCAGGCACCTCTTCGATTTCTAAAGCTCCGTCGAGTGCAGATTTTTATAGAGGCTAACATTAAGTTCCAAAGCACACTTGAATCTCCACCAGTAGAAGCTCCCTTCTTGCATTTCTAAGATCTTGATTTGTCCGACCTCTCTTCAACACCTTTGAAAATGTCTGGCCCATCCGACTGTCGTTTTGACTTAAACCTTGTTGAAGAGGCAGCCACGCCTTCTCCAGACAACATATGGCGCCTATCCTTCTTATCCCCTCTGGTCCTCTTACCGTTGGGGATTCCGTGATGAAGAATGATATAACCGTTGCGGTGGTGGCTAGGAACCTTCTCACTCCTAAAGATAAAAGACTACTTTCCAAACGGTCTGATGAGTTGGTTGTTAAGGATTTTCTGGCTATCAATGTTCAGTGTACAGGTTCTGTGTCTAATATGGCCCAACGCCTATTTGCTCGAACCCGCCAAGTTGAATCATTGGCGGCTGAAGTGATGAGTCTCAAACAGGAGGTTAGAGGGCTCAAGCATGAGAATAAACAGTTGCACCGGCTCGCACATGACTATGCTACAAACATGAAGAGGAAGCTTGACCAAATGAAGGAATCTGATGGTCAGATTTTACATGATCATCAGAGGTTTATGGGTTTATTCCAAAGGCATTTATTGCCTTCATCTTCTGGGGCTGTACCGCATAATGAAGCTCCAAATAATCAACCTCTGATGCCTCCTCTTTCTAGGGTTCTGTCCAGTACTGAGGCTCCGAATAATCCCCCTCCGGTGCCTTCTCTTTCTGGGGCTCTACCGACTACTGAGACTTCTCCTAAGCAACCTTTGTGAAGGCTCCATTTTGTTTGTTTATTTTGACTCATGTATATGTACATATTTGCAACTTATCGAAAATATCAATAAATAAGCTTTGTTTCATTTCAACGTATTGTGTAGCCTTCTTCACTAAGTTCTTTGAATTTTTCTTTTGTTGAAGCTTGTATATTGAAGCTTTGTGAGTGGAGCATGTAGGTTGAGGTAGTGTTCTCTTAATTTCCCGAGTGAGGAAAATTTCTGGGTTGGAAACTTGAAAAATCCAAGTCACTGAATGGGGTTGGCTATATGAATCTTAGAACACCATTATGCTCGGTCCTGTGTCATGTCCTCCATTAGATCCAAGTACTCTAAGTCTTTTCTTAGAGTCTCTTCCAAAGTTTTCATAGGTCTTCCTCTACCCCTTCGGCCATGAACCTCTGTCCCGTAGTCGCATCTTCTAACCGGAGCGTCAGTAGGCCTTCTTTGCACATGTCCAAACCACCGTAACCAATTTTCTCTCAGCTTTCCTACAATTTCGGCTACTCCTACTTTACCTCAGATATCCTCATTCCTAATCTTATCCTTTCTCGTGTACCCACACATCCAACGAAGCATCCTCATCTCCGCTACACCCATTTTGTGTACGTGTTGATGCTTCACCGCCCAACATTCTATGCCATACAGCATCACCGGCCTTATTGCCGTCCTATAAAAGTTTCCCTTGAGTTTCAGTGGCATACGACGATCACACAACACGCCGGATGCACTTTTCCACTTCATCCATCCAGCTTGTATTCTATGGTTGAGATCTCCATCTAATTCTCCGTTCTTTTGCAAGATAGATCCTAGGTAGCGAAAACGGTCGCTCTTTGGTATTTCCTGATCTCCGATCCTCACCCCTAACTCATTTTGGCCTCCATTTGCACTGAACTTGCACTCCATATATTATGTCTTTGATCGGCTTAGGCGAAGACCTTTAGATTCCAACACTTCTCTCCAAAGGTTAAGCTTCACATTCACCCCTTCCTGAGTTTCATCTATCAATACTATATCGTCTGCGAAAAGCGTACACTAAGGGATATCATCTTGAATATGTCCTGTTAACTCATTCATTACCAACGCAAAAAGGTAAGGACTTAAGGATGAGCCTTGATGTAATCCTACAGTTATGGGGAAGCTTTCGGTTTGTTCTTCATGAGTTCTTACGGCAGTCTTTACTCCTTCATACATATCCTTTATAGCTTTGATATATGCTACTCGTACTCCTTTATTCTCTAAAATCTTCCAAAGAATGTCTCTTGGGACCCTATTATACGTTTTTTCCAAATCTATAAAACCATGTGTAAATCCTTTTTCCCATCTCTATATCTTTCCATCAATCTTCGTAAGAGATAGATTGCCTCCATGGTTGAGCGCCCTGGCATGAACCCGAATTGGTTGTCCGAAACCCATGTCTCTTGCCTCAATCTATGCTCAATGACTCTCTCCCAGAGCTTCATTGTATGACTCATTAGCTTAATACCCCTATAGTTCATGCAATTTTGTACGTCGCCCTTATTCTTGTAAATAGGCACCAAAGTGCTCTTTCGCCACTCGTTTGACATCTTCTTCGTTTTCAAAATCCTATTGAAAAGGTCAGTGAGCCATGCTATACCTGTCTCTCTCAAGGCTTTCCACACTTCAATCGGTATATCGTATGGGCCCACTGCTTTTCTATGCTTCATCTTCTTCAAAGCTACAACCACTTCTTCCTTCCTGATTCGACGATAAAAGGAGTAGTTTCTACACTATATCACCTTCTTTCCCATCTCTAATGCTATGTCATAAGTCCCTAAAGAAGCAATTGCCTGAAAGATGAAGAAAACCAGAAACTCATAATAACCATAGCAGACAAACCCAGAAAAAGAAAGAAACAAATAAAATCATTCAGATTTTGTATACTGTTAGTTTCTCAAGTAGTCTTTACATATTCATTCAAGATTATGCATGTATTAGAGCACTTTAAGCAGAACGGCAGTGTAGTATTCAGAATTATATTCAAATGATCATTGAGGATTTTTTACAAATGAATCTCCCACTATTCTACTTAAAAAACCACATACTCAATACCAAGTGAAAATTGCGTCGTTTTTATAAAACATTGAAAAACATATGAACTGATGCCCAACTTTGATTAATCTGACATTAATAGTTAAGTAATTCAACATTCAGAGCTGACAGGAGAGTATATAACAACATTGGAAAACATATGAACTTGCCCACCTATTTGACAGTGCAGTTGAATAATCTCAAATAAATTCGCATAAAAAGAATCAATAAATTTGACTAAGAATTCTCCAAAACCCACAATTTAAATGAAAAAAAACCCACAAATTTAAACCAAAAATTCTATAAAATCATGAAAAATTTAATAAAATCCCATTACATTAATCACAAATTCGATCATTCAAATCTTCACATCCAATAAGTTTAGAAAGGTACCTAGCTTCCTTGCAAAATCGTATCTCTACAGGCCAAGGCTCAAATTCCCTTGCTGCTGCCTTCATTCGATAAATCCTGATTGAAGCAGTCACATATATCATATACATATATATATATATATATATATATATATATATATATATATAATAAGTTGATGCGCTCAATGGGCATGAACTTATCAGAAATTATGAAACCGACTGAACACATTTAGTGTAATGTCCACAATTAAATAATGAGCATGAAAATGACTAACAGGGGTAACACAAACTGCTCAACTTAGGAATTAAAGCATCCAATATTTAGAAAATAATTGACAATTTTCATGGTCAAATTAATAAGGAAAATCATAATTAAATAAACTCGATTGTTTTAACTGCTAATTCTGACGAAGCAGCAGTAGTTCGACATATTGCTTCTAATGAAAATTATTACATATCAGTGGTGCAAATTAGCAAAATAATAGTGCCTTCAGACTTTTTGAAAACATTCGATAGTGCCTTCAGGCTTAAATTCACCAATATCATAACCTTCTCCATTAGTACCTTCACCTTCTCCGTCCCCCCCCCCCTCCTGCATCACCTACTTCATCAACTCTCAATATCACCAAAATTCTAAATGACCATCCAGACTTCATAATAATTTTTTTATTTGGTCTAAAATAGGAAAAAACCCAAAACAGAAGATGTACAAAACTTTGTGAGCATGGGGAGACGGGTTAGGACAGTGGGAAATGGACCAGGTTTTTTTTTATTCATTGAGTCCATCATTTTGTAAGTGGTCTGCCAATTCCTTAATTTAATGGGATTAGTTTAGGACTTTGTGAGCATGGGTGCTGCACGTTGATAACAAAACAATTTAAAAGTTGAAAAACCTTACCCACTCATCTATTGTATTAAACCTTAAGGATACCTCCCAATATAAACATAAATTAAATATAACTAAAAAAATACAGATAAAACAAACAATAATCAGCAAACAAAAACCCTAAACATTCAGATTTTTCAGATTCAGATGAAACCCAATTTCCACACAATAAATTCAAAATCCCATTAAAAAAAATCTAATGCTAAATCCAAAACCTGCATTCTCATAAAAAAAAAATCACTAAAAAGAAAAACCCAGAAAAGTAAAAAAAAAATTTAAAAAAAAAAAACTTTAATTTTAACTCTTTTAAATGCAAAAAATCATACGCAAACTTAAAGGAACAAACAAAAGAAATACTTACATAAATTTTGAAAGCCTTATAATGCGCTTGATGGATCCAGTGGAAATCTGTTGGACCTTTTCCCCAATTAGACAGAATTTGACATTGGCTGCAACAAACTGAAAAACACATTGTTACCAAGCATAAAAGCCGTTTTTCAGATAAAATGAGGGCATATATAAATATCACTCAGATTCAACAAACTGCATACTAATCCCTGTTTAGATTTTTAAATTATTTAGTTACTATGGTAAGAAACATAATTCAAATTATGACAATTCACCAGAAAAACAAAATATTATCAAATAAGTTATAACTGGAAAAACATAAACAACTTACAGCCTCCAGCTGTATGAAAATGCTTGTTTAATTTTCTTTTGCTGCTTTTATGAGATGGAAATGGAGGCTTATTCTTGTCTCGTGCTCAATGATATCAATTTCAGCTTGCTCCCAAACGTACTGCAAAAGCTAAAAGAAAGTTACTGACTTTGCAAGTATACAATAGCCGCTAATTTTTCTCCAAAATTTTCAGATATCTCATTCCCAACCATACATCCAAATAAAATAAAAGTAAAAACTCCACAGTACCAATACACAACCAAAATTTGAACCTGAAAATCCATCTTCAAAGTTCTATCAAATGCGAGCATTTACTCAATTTTAAGAAGTTGTATTGTTAAAACTTAAATCCCATGATGAACTCAACTTCCTTAATCTTTTCTAAAGAAGCAATAATTCACATAATGTATCCAAATAAGAAAATAACATATGATTCATGCTATCTTATACTTTCATATCCAAGTTATGTTTATGCAAATCATGAGAGGCACACATTTAAATCTCATCCCCTGCACACACCCTAAGTAAAAAAGAAACCAGCTCATCCATTCAATGTCCAAGCGGATTAGCATGTGGAGTAATAGAATATCAAAACGCAAGTTACAATTTTTAATGTACTTTAATAATTATTTCTTCAACTTTACCTCCAAGTAGTTCTTCCGATGGAAATAATTGATCTCAAGTGCCTAACCAGTGAGGCACCCTTTCTTTCCCACACTCTGCTTAACAATCCATAACCTGAGGAGATAAGAATCAGTTATAAGTTAATTGATCTTAGTTGGTTCCATAACTTGCTAATACGAAAAGAGAACAAAACAAAAAAAGTTAATCGAAGGATTTTACAAAAGCTACAAAAATTAACTAATTATCTGTTTAGGCCCAAAATAATAGTTTGGGCCAAGTAGAGAATCATTCTCGGCCCGGAAGGCCTTGCGGCATGGATCGTTCAGTACGTGGGCCTCCAAACCTAGGTCGGCTAGGTCAGGACGTAGGATAAGTTGAGTCCTGGTGCAATAAGGAGTCTCGGCATGATTAATAACCCGAGAGCGAATCCGACTCAATAAAGGACTAGGTTCACAGTCATAATGAAAGTAGGATTGGTCGAGTCAGTGTTTGATTGGGAGAAGAAGTCCTAGTCTGAATGGGGTTTCAACTCGACCTTGGGGGGAGCCGTTGCTATAAATAGAAGAGGCTGTGCATCATTTGAGACCCCCGACAATTCAACACAAAACTGCCCTGCGCAAGCTTTCTCAACAACTTTGAGATTTTTTCTTTTCTTTTCTCGCTGACACATCTTTCGTTGGCATCAACAGCACTGTGGAAGCAACCAGTGATATCTTAAGTCGGCATAGATAGCTACGTCATCGTAGAATCAGTCGATCTCGCAGTATCTTCCGTTGGCATCAACAGCACTGCGGCGAGGACGGTTGGTTACCTATCCAAGTCTCGGTCGAGAAGGATTTCTGGATCTTTATTGATTGAGGTCATCTCATCGGCGAAGTGAGGTGTTACAGTATATCGAGCTCGGTGCATTGCACGCCGAGTTATTTTATGATTGGATATTCCCAAGTGGGATTTAGAGTTCGGCATTCGGACGGCCGAACCACGTTCACCATTAAAACTTATTTTTGCTTTGAGTATTTATGCCCTTACACTTTGGTGTCGATTCGGCGTGAGTTTACTCTGACGAATAACATCACTGTGACTGAATCCGACGACGACGACTCGTGAACTTCGTAAGAATAGTAACCTTGTCTTCAGGTTCGAGAACCCAAGAGGTCGAGACGCGTTCCTTCCTCGGTCGCAATCGCAAGACGTAGGAGTCAGCCGCGCACCCAACACAACATCAACAAATTTACTCCTCGGCCGAGCTCGGTCGACGAGTTGGCATGCCCGCATTCACCGAAAGACGTAGTTAGCTTATAGATTACTCGGCCTGCGCGCCACGTAGGCTTGGTAGTTTCTAGGGTCAACATTTTGGCATGCCCAGTGGGACCTAGGGCTAAACTACGAAGTTCATGCCAATTGAAACGCGATCGGGAAAAAAGAAAACAGCTATGGGAAAATCAACAGTCGATTTGCAGATTCAGAACGTAGGACACAGTGTGCCATAGGCGTAGAATCCCGTCAGCGCCGTGACACCTGAGTCCATAAGCGCAACCCGCCGAGAAAGGGAAGTTAATCTCGGCGGTCAGGTTCGCAATCTTGAAATTCCCGACAGGAACACTTGTGTTCTCAATGAAGGAGTAATGGAAGATTGTGATGAAGATGGTGGCGAAGGATCCGATCCACCCACAAGGTCGTTTATTCGAAAACGGCTTGACGAGCAATCTCGGACGGTTGAACAGACATTAAGTCGAGGAATCAATAAGCTTCATGACGTGATACGCAATTCCAGTGAAGCACAAACCAGATTACTCGAAATACTAGTTAGCAAGGTCAGCGATGGTAGAACTTTCGATCTTGCCCAGCATTTGCTGCCGAGGAATAATCTATTATCAAGTGCACCGGCCAAGCCAATTCCTGCTTAGCTCAGGCCAATCAACTTGGAAAGAGGAGGAGGGTCAAATAGTAGGTTAGACGGATCCGACCAGAGAGTGGAAGTAACACCCGTCGATATGACCGAGGTCCAACGGATGATCGATTCGGCCATGAAGAAAGGGCCGAAGTTCCCTAAGTTTATACACCCATATCCAGCTTATGTGGAACAGTTCGAATACCCTAAAGGTTTTAAAATCCCGGATTTTAGCCTTTTTACCGGAGAATCATCCTTATCATCGTTAGAACATGTAGCTCGTTTCACCGCACAATGCGGGGACGTCAGTAGTGACTTTCACAAGCTACGACTTTTCAATTTTTCGTTGACTGGTTCAGCGTTTGCTTGGTATATTAACCTCCAACCAAATTCCGTCCAGAGTTGGGAGAAGTTGGTCGAGAAATTTCATGAGCAGTTTTATCGGCCGGGAATGGAAATGTCAGTATCCTCACTAGCAAGGATGGCTCAGGCGTCCGACGAGTCACCAATGTATTATCTTACCAGATTCAAATCAGCCAGGAATTGGTGCCGAGTACTTCTCCCCGAAGTCGAATTTGTCAGGCTTGCTTTGAATGGTCTTGACGTCGAATACAAATTTGTCAGGCTTGCTTTGAATGGTCTTGACGTCGAATACAAAAAGAAATTCTTGGGGGCAAACTTTCGGGATATGTACGAATTAGCCCAACATGTCGAGCAGTATGATTATTTGCTCCGCGAGGAAAAGATTTCGAAAGCTCCATCTCGGGGGACGATTTACAAAAATCCTACTGTTAATTATGCATCAACCGAGGATGAATGTGTTAGTGTGGATGCAGCTGAGATAGTGATAGATAAGCCTTACGTTTGCAAGGCACTGACTCATGTTGACTCTGAGGAAGTCAAAATCCGCTCGGCCACTGAAGGAACATTGAAACCATCAAAAGTTTATACTTTTGATATTACAAAAGCCGATGCAATTTTTGACCAACTATTATCAGCGAGGATCATCAAACTTCAGCTCGGGCACAACATTCCCAAGGTCGAGGAGCTTAAAGGAAAGATATATTGCAAATACCACAATTCAAGCAAATATACAACAAATAATTACGTCCTGTTTCGAGACAACGTCCAAAGCTGGATTGATAGTGGCAAACTGAAATTTCCAGAGAAGAAGATGAGCGTTGATACTGACCCGTTCCCCACGGCAACAGTAAATATGGTCGATGCGTGCCTACCTAAGGACAAAGGGAAAGGGAAGGCCGAAGTTGTTGCGACGCAACGCTTTCAGAATCAGAATTCTCGACCACGTTTCATGGCCGATTTTCGTTCAAACCTATGATGGATTACAGCACCGATGAAGATAGTGGGACGGCGGTTTTATGCAGTAAATGTAGAGCAAAGGTCAACAGTGAGCCAGAGGAGAAACCCTCTTCGCTTATAACGGAACGACCTATGGCCGCAACCCAGCAAAAGGTAGCCAACGTAGGCCATCATCAAGGGGTTTTTGATAGGCTCGGTCCTAAAGTGAGGATGGAAGAAACACCCTCGGTCAGGCGGTGCCTTGATTTTGATGCTCCATTTTATGACGATGACTACTATATACGTAACTCTAGCAGCTCGAAATCATCTCGGAGCCAAAAAACTTTCAAACCTCCCGAACCTAGAGATCAACGTTGGTATACATATCACTCTTCGAAAGGCGTCTATACCGCACTGTCCAAATCTCAGAAACGCCGGCACCAAAGGATAGATTGCATGGCCCGCCGACAGGCAGCCCAAGAAACTTCGGTCCCTAAATGGAGGCCGAAGGACACAATTGTCACTAACGATGAACGACCACCTCCAGCTATTATGACAGAGTTGGTTCAAGGGAAACAGTTGCTCAATCGAGATATCGAAACGACGTTCGAAGAGGCTGATAAACGAATCAAACTGCTTCTTCAACCTGGGGAGATGAAGGCACGCCTCGAGCATTTCAGGCAAGAAGCTGAAAGCAAATTAGCCTCGCCGGCCATTCAAGAGCCTTTGATCAAAATTCGACGGAATTTGCATCCACCATTCCTCGGGGAAGCCTTGGAATATATGCGAGAATTTCATATGAAACATTCAGCCAACGATCTGTATGGTTTACCGAAAGCATGTCAAGACACAATTGATCTGTATGGATTTGAAGTCGACCCATATACTGATATCGATGCCGCTGACCTTCCTTTCTCAATTAAGGACCTTCAGTATTTACGATATCACTTTGAAGTATTTTCGGCTGTGTCTCTCTTCGGCCTTATGGCCGATGAAATAGCACATGTTACACGATTGGATGCCTATCTCGACACCAGAGACGCCCGGATGCATTACCAGGAGCAAGTTCGGGTCTTGGCCCGAAGCACACTTTCAATCTCAACCTCACCTGAGGCAATTATGCAGAACCAAAAGGCTGCCAAAGAGACGCCACAGGATCAAACCATTGAAGAAGGAACAGAAGAGTCTCTTTATCCAACTCTGACGGCAGCGGAGGCCGCAGTCGCCGACCAGACAAGAGACGCAGCGAGCGAAGAGGATCCTAACCTGATGGGCCCGTCAGTTCTGGATAACACGGAAATCAGTATGGTTCATGTGCTGCCCGCCGATTTTCAGTCAAGCACAGCTTAACCGAGTTTCCTTGATGGTGACGTAATTGCCGAGGAAGCCGGTCACATTGACTTTGTAACTATTACCGATGACGACTCTGCAACAAAAGATGACAATATCAAAGCATCTTTGGCTGAATTGTTTCCTCGCTCATCATCGGCCAACCTCCATCATTTAAAGCCATTATATGTCACGGCTCATATCGAAGGGTATCCAGTCTCTAAATTTTTTGTCGACTGCGGAGCGACGGTCAATATCATGCTTGTAAACATCATAAAGGCATTGCGTCGCTCAAATGACGAACTCATTCTGTCCGGGATCATAATGAGCAGTTTCGTCGGAGATAAATCACAAACCAAATGGGTGCTTCCTTTAGCGGTAAATATTACCGGCCGAAATCACATGACCGCCTTTTTTATCGTTGACTCCAAGACTGAGTATAATGCTCTGCTCGGTCGAGACTGGATTCATCAAACCAGCTGTATTCCTTCGTCCTTATATCAAGTGCTAGTTTTCTGGGACGGCAAATCGGTCATCATTCACCCGGCTGATAGTCATCCCTTCGAAACTAACATGATCCAAGCACGGTATTATA